ATCGAGACTTAGCAAGTGTGTTATTAATATACTAGGTTTTAAAATTGTGTAGTTAAACATTTGCTGCAATTCTTGACAAATATAATAAATAGGCAATTAATATTTGTTGTCGTTGCAGTTTCATTTTGACGATTCACAATTTGAAGGTGGGCGGCAGGATGGATGGCACAAATTAAAACCCAATGCTATTCCTACTATTTTTGTAAATGAGGAAATTGTTACTGAAGGTTTACGAGATGAAACTGAATCTTCTGCAACTATTTTTTCTGAAGAAAGTTTACGAGATAAAATTGCATCTTCTGCAACTATTTTTTCTGAAGAAGGTTCACGAGATGAAACTGAACCAATTGCAACTATTTTATTTGAAGAAAATGTTATTAATGGTAAGTGGTAAATATTATGTTATGTTATTTCAAACATTTTAATCACAATCTTATCTTTTTTTGTAGACACAAATGTTCAACATGATGATCGTCAGCCTGTGTTTGTTTCCGCAGATACCGGAACTCAAACTGCGGAAGATAGTAATGTTACAACATTCCAAACTGCATACTATTCTAATAATAATGGAACAATCAGACAAGCCAATTTAATTAAATATTTTAAGAAAGAATTAGTTCACACACAACAAAAAAATAATATACTTAAATCAAAACTTGGAAAAGAAAGGCTGTTGAGATTAAAAGCTGAGAAGTGCACAAATGCCCACATAAAAGCATACAAAAACTTGAAAAAAAAATATGCAACACTATCGAAAAGATTGGAAGAAATGCCAATTCTTAAACAATTTGCATCAGGGTTAATTGGTCCACGATCAAAATGGTCTCCAGAATGTTTAAAATTGGCTACGCAAATAAGATATGCTGGTAAGTGGAATAGTTTATGAGTACTTGTTTATTCATGAGTGATAATGAAATAAAACAATGATTAATATGTTCTTTGGCTTACAGTAGGATGGAAAGCATATTTGTATTTAAAGAAAGATATGGGATTACCTCTTCCATCTTATTCCACATTATGTAGACATATAAATAAACTAGATTTTAGCCCTGGCGTGCTAAAAGACGTGATTTCCTTAATGGAAAAAAAAAGAAAAACTCACAAATCTTCACATCAATCGGATTGTGTACTTTTAATGGATGAGATGGATATTCAAAAAACGTTGGAGTATGATGTCAGCACAGGTAATACAAAGCATTAAAATGGAAATAGATTTTTTAAATTAAATAATTAAATAGTTAAATTAAATAATTCATATAAAAATAGAGCTCATTGCCACAGCACCATCAATCTACTGGTCGTCTGTAGTGAGCGCCTCGTTTGACCACGTTGCGACTGATCACAACGACCGTTGGTTGGAGTTTTTCCACTGAATCAGTTAATCTGATATTTTGACATTAAATCGGTGACGTGGGCAATCGGGTCCCACCCCATCTGTAACATGATCATGGTGACTTGACTGTTTTTGTACAGTCAATTTAATACAAGAATTTTTTGGGAAATGAACAACATGATAAACGAGTATGCAGTTCCTGGAAACAACTGTTATTTACGGAATAAATAGACCAATTAGTATTTTTAGTACTTATTAAAAGTAGAAAGTAGTATTAGTAATAAGATAGTAGATATTTATTAAAATTACAAAATGGTTTTTTAATATTGGTATCTCAATTAAAGTAACACGATGAAATAAGTAAGTGCATTTTATTATTGTGAATAAGAAATAACTTATTAACATTGTATATTTATTTCATTTTGTATAAATTAAGCACCCACTTTACACTTATATATACTCTCCAACAATTTTTTCCAATCCAAATCCAAAAAATTCTTTACTTTATTGTACAACTTTAGATTATTAGTTAAAATTTTTCTATTTAATTTGCATTTTTCCTAATTTTCACATAAATTTTGATGTTTCTTACGTATGTAGTAATAAATTATATCTATATTTATTGTTCCTTCTCTTTGTGTTTTATTTACGGCTTTAGGGTCTTTCATCGGTCAAACACCCAGCCGGAATGCTAGCGTCTTTTCGACGTCTATAGATGTCGATAGATGTCGAATCGACATCTATAAGATGTCAATTCGACGTCTATAGACGTCGGCGTTCCGGCTGGGCAACATGTAAAGATAAAAATACACTAAGTTCAAGTGTTGTTGTTTTTATGCTGAGAGGATTAAATGAAAATTGGAAACAGAACATCGCGTGGCATCTTACAACAAAATCATCAGATGAAGAAGACATGTGTAAATTAATTTTAGAAATAATTGAGGATGTAGAAAAAATAGGTTACAAAGTACACGGTCTTGTCTCAGATATGGGATCAAAGAACCAAGCTGTTTGGCGAACATTAGGTTTCAAAGTGGGCAAAGATAATAACACACCTTTTATAACTCATCCTGTACGACCGGATGAATCTTTATATATATTTCCAGATGTTCCTCATCTATTAAAAAATTTACGATCAGCTCTAATGAATAATCTGATTATAAAAGTAGCTGTAACGGTTATGCAATCTGAAGGATTACCTTGTAATGAAGTTCGGTTTCGATATCTCGAGCAATTAGAAGAGATTCAAAGACGTTATCAGTTGAAACTTGCGCCAAATATCACTACAGATATCTTGAAACTTTCAAATTTCAATAAAATGAATGTTGCAGCTGCAGCTCATATATTTTCGGAGAGAACAGCAGCCGCTTTAGAGACTTTAGTACAACTAAAAATTATAGAACGAGATGCGTTAACTACAGCTTGGTTCTTAAGAACAGTCAGATCCTGGTTTAATGTTATGAATGGTAGATATCAAAACGATGCAATCACACCAGGAAATAAACAGAAAAAAGTAGCAATTATTGATAACTTCTTGTATTTAATTGAGCATATTGTAATTGGAGGAGCATGGAAGCCAGTTCAAACTGGTATCAAAATATCAGCTTTAAATTCGATGTGGATTGTAGACAAACTTTTTAAAGATGGTTATCATTACTTTTTCACCTCTCGCTTAAATCAGGATGCTTTGGAAAACTTATTTTCTACATTGCGAAGACATGGAAATGTTAACCCAACGGCTTTACAAGTAAAAAGATGTCTTCGTCTCATTACTACTTGTCAATTTGTTGACAATCATAAGACAAAAAAAAGTTATGAATCTGATGATGATGAACATTACATTGATTTTTTTACTTTAAAACAAAGTATAAATAAAAATGAAGAAAAAGATACAAGTATTCCACCTTACAAATGTATGAATGTACCATACGCAGATGAACAAGATTATAGCTATGTTAAACCCATAGAAAATACAATTCAATGTAATGTCATCAATAATGTTATTGGAAGTGCCATATCTTACGTTCTCCGCAAACATAACGTTTGTCGATCATGTGCAATGACACTTACTACGAATGACAGCAATCGGTTTTCGATTTATACCAAAATTCTCTCCTTCGGATTTTTAGAAAATCCTTCTACTCCACTTTTTAAATACATAACTGCAGTCGAAGCACATCTTCAAGAGCATTTGCATCAGTGTGCGCTACATCCTCAATTATTTGAACACTTATTACTTATGATTAAAACTTGGGTACATTCTACCATACCACCCTGTAAATCTTGTAATGCATTTCAAAATATTGTCCGCCGCTATATTCACATTCGTCAAATTATTCATGTTAATAACCAAAAGAAAATAATTAAACAGTCGAAACATAAATCTTTTGGTTCAAAAAGTGCATTCAGACAAGCGTTTAGTTAATAATTTCAGTTAATAATTCTCATAAATTATATACTTTTTGATGTGATATTACATTTATAATAACATATTTTATGTTAAGAAAAATAAATATAACTGAGAATTTATATGTCATGGTTTTTTATTTTTATATAAAATAATAACACATACGTTACATATTTTCAAAATTACTATATCGTTACAATTTATAATAATTACGTTTCAAACAATTGTTAAATGTAAATAAATATTTAAATCTCTATTACTAACAATTCATTACATTAATTTTATTATCAAAACACTTTATTTCCTTTTATTTTACCATTTCTTGTTGTAATTTTAATTGCATTTACTTTTCAAACAACTCTTGTCTACCCTTAACCTCTATTTAAACTGACAGCTGTGGCAAAGAAATGATTACTTTGAACAGCTGTAAGATAGCGACCGCCATTTTGGTGCCAATGTTGTTGAAGTGGGTGAGAAGACCTTCCTTTGCGCCGTCGTCCATTTACCGACCTTGGATACGACTGAAGGAAGGACGAACTTAGCCATTGCGACGTGGCCTCGTTGAAACGGAACGAAGCGGCCATCTTGGACATTGCGACGTGGCATTAAAAAGAAACGAAGCGGCCATCTTATTCATTGGAGAAGGTTCTTACGGTTTTGGTCGATGACCATCATTACAATTTAGCATCGGCGGATGCATTCAGGTAAAATATCGAACTCGTGTAAATCAGAGAT